CAGTGCCCAAGTCTTGGCACGTCCTGCCAGATTTGACTGGGCAAATGCAACTTGCATATCCCCGTCGTCGATGCGACGCGCCCTTATGGCATCATTCAATTCGACGAACCATCTCAGGAGGGAGTCTTCTTCGACTCCCCTATACTTGGAGATGTCAATCTTCAAGGTTTCGGGTCGACGCGAGTGCATCGACCCACCAGCAGCAGCCTGCTGCTGTCTCAACAGTTCAAACTGTTGAGCACCTTGTTCTCTCAACAACTCTGCTTGTTGAGAACATTGTTGGTGAAGCAAGGCTACTTTCTCGCGTTCTGCGTCAAGTTCATTTTGAATGAACTTGGCGATAGCAGCATGTTGGGCATCTCTTTTGAGAGCCTCTAGCATGACGCTAACAGCATGGATGCCCATGGTTGAACCCATCCGTTCAACCGCATCCAATTCGACATCGCTCAAATGGGAGTAGCCGTCACGCGTAGCGTGAAAGCTTTGGTCATCTGCACCATCCAACATGTTCATGTTAGATGTGAACGTGGTCCTTGGACGGACTACGAAGTGCTACCAGGTGTAACGGGGCACCCTGAAGCTTGTACTGATGACAGTACAAGCTACTTATTCTGATGACAGAATAAGGCGGTACCTCGGAACTTCACGTACACTGGTACGTGCAGAGGAAGACGGTTGGGAGAAGCGAGTACTTGTTTAAAGTAAAAAGTAGAACTGTATTTATCACAGTTAATGCCTGCTAATAAATCACTATTTATCCTCATCTAACTATGTCTGAATACAAATGTGTAAATCAACTATCTGCTCACCACTCATTGCGTGCGTCTGTCGTGGCGCGTCTTCGTTGGTTGATATAATGGCCTATATCAACCAATTAGGAACTACTCGTAAGTGCTGTAGAATATTTGTCCTTATGACAATATTCTGAGAATATAACTCTTACAGTTATATTCTATTAACAATTTCTTATAAATTGTTATGTAGCGATTCACCCCGTTACACTGTGAGCCTAGTGATACCCGCTTTCGTATTCCAAGCTTTCCTTGCTCGACATTTGGCTCATAGTTTACAAGACTACCATCGCCCAGTCCAACAAGTAGATAATCCTTCCCTTCAAATGTGTTGCACAGCACTGATCGGGGAAGAAGTTCAGTCCCCAGCGAATCAGTAGTCAGCTTCTCAAGGGTTGGCAGTTTCAAGACGGACACCGAGAAATTGGTCCATAGCCCAACTATACAGATCGAACTGCGAAGAGCAGCCATGTCCCAGTAAGTCGACGGGCTCGTCATGGAAACATCTCCCTCGCCTACATCGCTGCGTGCAAGCAGAGAAATATCCACGCATGCAATTTCGTGCTCCATCTTGACCTTGCTTTTTCACTTATTTACCCGTTCTCAACCTCCAATAAACAAGTGCACCACCCGGCGTAGCAAATGCAACCTGGGTTGGATTAGCAGCAGTGACAGTAATTCGCGATTCAGGGGGCGGCGACCACGTCGAGCTTAGCTAAAATGTACTACAGCCAATGAGTCGCGCTTCTGACTTGGTCACTTGGAGACACACTGTAACGGGGCACCCTGAAGCTTGTACTGATGACAGTACGAGCTACTTATTCTGATGACAGAATAAGGCGGTGCCTCGGAACTTCACGTACACTGGTACGTGCAGAGGAAGACGGTAAGGAGAAGCGAGTACTTGTTTAAAGTAAAAAGTAGAACTGTATTTATCACAGTTAATGCCTGCTAATAAATCACTATTTATCCTCATCTAACTATGTCTGAATACAAATGTGTAAATCAACTATCTGCTCGCCACTCATTGCGTGCGTCTGTCGTGGCGCGTCTTCGTTGGTTGATATAATGGCCTATATCAACCAATTAGGAACTACTCGTAAGTGCTGCAGAATATTTGTCCTTATGACAATATTCTGAGAATATAACTCTTATAGTTATATTCTATTAACAATTTCTTATAAATTGTTATGTAACGATTCACCCCGTTACACTGTGAGCCTAGTGATACCCGCTTTCGTATTCCAAGCTTTCCTTGCTCGACATTTGGCTCATAGTTTACAAGACTACCGTCGCCAAGTCCGACGAGTAGATAATCCTTTCCTTCAAATGTGTTGCACAGCACTGATCGGGGAAGAAGGTCAGTCCCCAGCGAATCAGTAGTCAGCTTCTCAAGGGTTGGCAGTTTCAAGACGGACACCGAGAAATCAGTCCATAGCCCAACTACACAAATCGAGCCGCGAAGAGCAGCCATGTCCCAGTAAGTCGACGGGCTCGTCATGGAAACATCTCCCTCGCCTACATCACTGCGTGCAAGCAGAGAAATATCCACGCATGCAATTTCGTGCTCCATCTTGACCTTGCTTTTTCACTTATTTACCCGTTCTCAACCTCCAATAAACAAGCGCACCACCCGGCGTAGCAAATGCAACCTGGGTGGGATTAGCAGCAGTGACAGTAATTCGCGATTCAGGGGGCGGCGACCACGTCGAGCTTAGCTAAAATGTACTACAGCCAATGAGTCGCACTTCTGACTTGGTCACTTGGAGACACACTGTAACGGGGCACCCTGAAGCTTGTACTGATGACAGTACAAGCTACTTATTCTTACAACAGAATGAAGCGGCGCCGCGTAACTTCACGTACACTCGTACGTGCAGAGGAAGACGGTAAGGAGAAGCGAGTACTTATTTAAAGTAAAAAGTAGAACTGTATTTATCACAGTTAATGCCTGCTAATAAATCACTATTTATCCTCATCTAACTATGTCTGAATACAAATGTGTAAATCAACTATCTGCTCGCCACTCATTGCGTGCGTCTGTCGTGGCGCGTCTACGTTGGTTGATATAATGGCCTATATCAACCAATTAGGAACTACTCGTAAGTGCTGCAGAATATTTGTCCTTATGACAATATTCTGAGAATATAACTCTTACAGTTATATTCTATTAACAATTTCTTATAAATTGTTATGTAACGATTCACCCCGTTACACTGTGAGCCTAGTGATACCCGCTTTCGTATTCCAAGCTTTCCTTGCTCGACATTTGGCTCATAGTTTACAAGACTACCATCGCCCAGTCCAACAAGTAGATAATCCTTCCCTTCAAATGTGTTGCACAGCACTGATCGGGGAAGAAGGTCAGTCCCCAGCGAATCAGTAGTCAGCTTCTCAAGGGTTGGCAGTTTCAAGACGGACACCGAGAAATCAGTCCATAGCCCAACTACACAAATCGAGCCGCGAAGAGCAGCCATGTCCCAGTAAGTCGACGGGCTCGTCATGGAAACATCTCCCTCGCCTACATCACTGCGTGCAAGCAGAGAAATATCCACGCATGCAATTTCGTGCTCCATCTTGACCTTGCTTTTTCACTTATTTACCCGTTCTCAACCTCCAATAAACAAGCGCACCACCCGGCGTAGCAAATGCAACCTGGGTGGGATTAGCAGCAGTGACAGTAATTCGCGATTCAGGGGGCGGCGACCACGTCGAGCTTAGCTAAAATGTACTACAGCCAATGAGTCGCACTTCTGACTTGGTCACTTGGAGACACACTGTAACGGGGCACCCTGAAGCTTGTACTGATGACAGTACAAGCTACTTATTCTTACAACAGAATGAAGCGGCGCCTCGTAACTTCACGTACACTCGTACGTGCAGAGGAAGACGGTAAGGAGAAGCGAGTACTTATTTAAAGTAAAAAGTAGAACTGTATTTATCACAGTTAATGCCTGCTAATAAATCACTATTTATCCTCATCTAACTATGTCTGAATACAAATGTGTAAATCAACTATCTGCTCGCCACTCATTGCGTGCGTCTGTCGTGGCGCGTCTACGTTGGTTGATATAATGGCCTATATCAACCAATTAGGAACTACTCGTAAGTGCTGCAGAATATTTGTCCTTATGACAATATTCTGAGAATATAACTCTTACAGTTATATTCTATTAACAATTTCTTATAAATTGTTATGTAACGATTCACCCCGTTACACTGTGAGCCTAGTGATACCCGCTTTCGTATTCCAAGCTTTCCTTGCTCGACATTTGGCTCATAGTTTACAAGACTACCATCGCCCAGTCCAACAAGTAGATAATCCTTCCCTTCAAATGTGTTGCACAGCACTGATCGGGGAAGAAGGTCAGTCCCCAGCGAATCAGTAGTCAGCTTCTCAAGGGTTGGCAGTTTCAAGACGGACACCGAGAAATCAGTCCATAGCCCAACTACACAAATCGAGCCGCGAAGAGCAGCCATGTCCCAGTAAGTCGACGGGCTCGTCATGGAAACATCTCCCTCGCCTACATCACTGCGTGCAAGCAGAGAAATATCCACGCATGCAATTTCGTGCTCCATCTTGACCTTGCTTTTTCACTTATTTACCCGTTCTCAACCTCCAATAAACAAGCGCACCACCCGGCGTAGCAAATGCAACCTGGGTGGGATTAGCAGCAGTGACAGTAATTCGCGATTCAGGGGGCGGCGACCACGTCGAGCTTAGCTAAAATGTACTACAGCCAATGAGTCGCACTTCTGACTTGGTCACTTGGAGACACACTGTAACGGGGCACCCTGAAGCTTGTACTGATGACAGTACAAGCTACTTATTCTTACAACAGAATGAAGCGGCGCCGCGTAACTTCACGTACACTCGTACGTGCAGAGGAAGACGGTAAGGAGAAGCGAGTACTTGTTTAAAGTAAAAAGTAGAACTGTATTTATCACAGTTAATGCCTGCTAATAAATCACTATTTATCCTCATCTAACTATGTCTGAATACAAATGTGTAAATCAACTATCTGCTCGCCACTCATTGCGTGCGTCTGTCGTGGCGCGTCTACGTTGGTTGATATAATGGCCTATATCAACCAATTAGGAACTACTCGTAAGTGCTGCAGAATATTTGTCCTTATGACAATATTCTGAGAATACAACTCTTACAGTTATATTCTATTAACAATTTCTTATAAATTGTTATGTAACGATTCACCCCGTTACACACACGTCGCCATACATTTTGCGGCAAAGCAAAGTCTTGACGTTAGTAAACGCCGGAATTTTCTTCTCTTTCGTCTCGTCCTCGTCTCTGATCGCGAGAATACGAATCTCGTTCACGTAACTCTGCAGTAAGTACTTGTCATACTCTGCAGCGAAGGTTTCGCGCAGCGACCACATCCCTTTGATACCAGGAAGTTCCGCGGTTGCTTGCTTGCTGATTTTAAATAGTAGACTAGTATCATTAGCTCCAGCGAACGCCGCAGTGAGCGAGTGGGTGACGCTCGTGGATTTCTGCCCAGTAGCTACGTAGTTGTAACCATGTTTCTTCCTTTCAAGCGTAATTCCGTGAGCTGTAGGAGTAACTTGATCTCAAAAATTGCATTAGAGAAGAGAGAAGACACAGACCTAGTTTATCAGAACGAGGATAGAACGCATAAAGTACCGGGGTAGCCGAGAGAACGTGCCGTAGCGGAGTGATGATGCACAACACCAATGCGTTTTTAAGATTCTTGCGCACGATTCAAGATCTAAGCGTGGACCACGTACGATCTCGTTTAGAAAAGGGTTTAAAGGATGTGGCTACATTCGTGTTTTGGTCCAGACCTTTTTGTTGTTGACTAAAACTCAATAGAGCCGATTGTGATCTTGTCGCGGTATGAGATGCCGTTAAAGTCTTCAATGAGGTGCTGATAATCACTTAAGTGTGTCAAATGGTAGTGTGCCGTGTGGTTCGGGATCGCCTTGTCTCCGGGCATGTAATGGCACACGTGTGCTCCGGCATTTCTGTAATATTGAAATAGTCATAACAACTAAGCAATTGCACGTCAATCGAGTCGAATAACATTCCAAAACGTACTTGGCGGCTTTTATAGTGGTCGCATGACGAGCGAGCACTAGGACGTTTGACGGCTCCACATCAAACTTTGCGCAAATGGAAAGGATTGGTTTCGGATCCGGAAACTTTGCTTGGTCTTCCTTCGACAGAAACATATCAAACTGGCCATCCATCTATCGTTTGCAATGGGTGCGAAGCACATCAGAAGAACATTGACGGACCGCACATAGTACAGCAAAGAGGAGTGTTCTTACCTCTTTCAGAAAAAAGTTGTACTCGTCCTGTGCGCAATGAACATTATAGCACGAGCCATGATAGCAGTACATCAGCGCTCCTCCACTTCCATTACCACTCATTCTTGTGCGTAGAACTTCTAACACGTACATCCTGCAGCGGATCTCTGGCTGGAATCACCGCTTTAAGCAATCCTCGCAGGTCCGAGTAGCTCTACGAGATATCAACGTACAGAGCAGCACCGCATTTCAATCACGTCATGCATTGATCGCTCCAATTGCACCAAAATCTCATCCCATTATCACAACGTACGAGAACTTCATTAGTCCCTGGATTCACGATCCAAGTGGAGAGACCAGCCGACGTAATGTTTCCCCCACCATCCCCCGGTCCTGTCACATTTACTCTTGATTGTTCTGTGTTATCCTGACTTTTCCTCTTCTTCTCTTTAAGCCGATTGATCTTGTCCAAGTACTTGTCTCTCAACGAGCTGGTTGGACTGTCAGTCTCGACTCCCCAGCTGTTACTACTCTTCCACTGGTCACCATTCTCTTTCTTATCGTCGTTCAAGTCCTTCTGTCTCGTCATGTCATCCAGCGCCTTCTTCAACTGCTCGTCTACAAGATTATCATCACTGTTTGTGCTTCCAGCGACCATATCCGTGTCCCTTGAGCTCATCGCTCGCTCCAAAACTGTCAGAACACATCATGTGAGTGTCCAGTGACACGGCAATCATTCTACACACAACCTACATTCACTCGGCAATCCTTTCAGCGTGTTCTGCAGTCTCTCTTTTACTGCCCAAGGCTTTCCCGTTGCGTCCTTGTCCAGGCGCTTGAGTAGTTCCCGCACGTCACTCACGAGCAGCGTTTTGATCACATATTCATCTTTTGTCCTCGTTTACTACTCTAACTATCGATATCGACTCTATAATATTAGTAACAAAACGATGATCATCCCATCGTTACACTTCACCTGCGTCATGATTCTTAGTATAGTAACCACACCTTACCAATACAGCGACTGAACGGACGTGGCGCTGAACAGCGAGTTTCGCTGCTGGTTCTTTGCCAGAGCAATCTTTTGGCGCTGCTGCTCCGCCTGCTCGGCTGCAGATTTGCCCAATAGGGTGCTGCAGAGCACGTCGTACTCAATGACAACGGCCTTGAGCTGCTGGGCCGCGGCCTTGGCGAGCTTCATGGTTGTGCTGACCGATGAGAGCGACGAAATGTTTGTGTGGTGCACGTTAATTGTGAGACAATAAGGCCGATTTGGCGGTGAACCGTTAGAGTACGCTAACAGTGGACCTCAAGAACTCCAGTCAATTCAAAATGTCGAAGTGTAGCTGCTTCGTTATTGCTATTTTTCGCATGAAAAGAGCACCGTCGAACATCGAGCAGTCACACCAAATGTGACTGCGCTGACGAAACAATGTATGTGCTAAAGTATTACCGCAATCGATGAGTCGTCGTGACGCCACTGATCCAGCTTGACATTTGCCATCTGACGCGTTTAAAGGGTCATCGCTGACACTATAGTACGACACGGAAAACGTCCAGCTGGCAAGTAGACGAGTGCACAAAACAGAACAACTCTGATGTAATAAGAACACGAGGTCCCACAACCAACGCAGCCAAACTGACCTTACTCCATACGTTGTGCAATGCTGTATTGTCTTCCATAATGATCCTTTTGCTGCTTCAACGTCAACACGTTGACACAGGTCAAGAGGTCTATTCCCAAAGTCTAGGGTCAGCAACCAAACCATGACCATTCCGTAGATAGGAGCTTCGTAGCGACATTTGCTGCTGCCTTCACCTCGACGTATGCTCATAATCAGACGACGTACGAAGGCGGTACGTCCCGACCACACACGCGAGGGAGTAAATCACTCGCGAGCCGCGCCGAACCTTGAAAACGACGACTGCCGTCGTAGAAAACGAGACTATCCACGATCTGCTCCGTCCATGTTGCGACAACTAAGACTTCAGACGTCGCACTTGAGCCCAGACAAGACGACGAATGTAACAAGAATTCGGAAGGAGAGGAACAGATTCAGCCGTTTCACCATTCTGAAAAGTGCAATACGAAAAGCATGTCCATCAAACATGTCATCACATACTCGATGATGGTCACGCTTTTGGCATCTGCATCTGTCTGTCCGCCAATCTTTTCGGTGAAACGGCACTTTGGTCTGGTCTTAACCTCGCTATTCGACTGCAGCATTCGCAGGACCGACCCGGCTCCTCTCATCTTCGATTTGACGCAACGACGCGCCTCTGAAATAACCTACATCGCGATCTCAAAACGTCGTCAATGATCGAAACCTTCCGTAACACATCGTGCCAGTCGACGGTGCTCTTCGCGCTTCACTTGACAGCAAAAAGGTCAACTAGTTCTGTTCATTATCGAAAATACCAGTCGAGCACGAACGCGACGCCAAGTAGAAACCGATTGAACAAGTGAGTGCATTGATGGCCCACGAGCTCGTCAGTCCTCACTGTTCATCCTGGTCGTTCAGCAACAGCTTCAACTTGTGTGGCACAGAGCCGAGCTCAAGTCACGAAAAGTTTGATACAGCATCCACTGTCACTGCCAGTCCAGTGCACGCTGAGAGCTACACCGGTCGATTGGGATTCTACGAAGCGGCGTTGTCTCCAATGCCAACAGTTCCAGAACACGAGATCGGCCATCGATTCCGTCGTACTATGGCGCTTCTCGTTAACTACTTTGCTGCCGGACTCTTCCACGGTATCGTGCCAGCTTTGGTGTACCCGCTGTTCAAAATCCGTCTCGGACTACAGAGCTACCAAGCTAACGCAGTGCAGACACTCTTACATTGTGCATGGCACAGCAAAGTCCTGCTCTGTCTGCTCACGGACTGTGTGCCAATTTGTGGTCGCAGACGCACCCCATACCTCTACATAGGATGGACATTGGTGCTGGCAATCTTCGGATTCGTGATAATATTGTATCCAAGCTTGTTCACCGACGCTGGAGCTGTTGAATCCCCAGCGCTCGTTTTGGTGATCAGTGCTGCATCGGTAGGCTACTTGCTCGTTGATGCGAGTTGTGACGGGATCATGGTGGAAACGGTCCAACTGGATAACCAATGCGAGGAAAGAGGTCGGCGAAATACGTCAAATTTTCTCCAGACCGCTGTGCATGCCGTGCGATTCGTTGCCGAGCTGTTTGGGACGCTTCTCATTGCGGTCGGAATGAACTCAGAAGCGTACGGGGGTAGATTTCCATTTGAACTGTCGTTGCGTGCCCTCTTCAAGATTCTGATTGCCATTGCGATGATAGCTTTGGGTGCTACAGCATGGGGCTTGCGAGAGTCGCGATCGGAGATTGGGTACGCCATCGGCACAGACACATTAGGTGCTCCAATGCCGGGTTTGCGAGCAAAACTGGGCGAGTTTTGGTCCATCATGCACCAACAAGCAACTTGGCATATCGCCTGCTTGGGATTTTTGCAGAAGATGTGCCTCTCGTTTGGAATGGACTCGGCTCCACTCTCCCAGGCCATACACGAATTCTGGCTGCACACTGATCCTTTCATGAAGAACCTGTTTCTCGCGCTTGCAAATGGTGGCGTGTGTGTCGCAGCTTCCCTCTTCGTGCACCGGTGTCTCCTGTATTCAAGCTGGCATTCATCACTACTCATCGCGCTACTAGGTGGGCTTGTTGTTAGCATACCCACTATCATGGTTGTCGTATTCGATGTGTGGCGCAGTAAAGTCTTTTTTCTGATTGCCACGGCGGTCACTGGGTTCTCGGACTGTATTGCTATGGTCGTTCGGATGCTCGTGGTCGTGGAAATTGCTGAGCCCGGCCTTGAAAGCAGTACTTATGGCCTGGTTACTTCCGTGTACAATCTCGCAGACCCTGTGGCAACTGCGATGAGCAATGCAATCGGAGCACGGTTTCAGGCCTTTGACATGGATATGAAACAAGACTCCCACGACGTCCGTGTACGAGTTGGGGTGCTCTTCACTGTGCTTTTCAGCGTGCGAGCGTTGGTAGGTTTGGGTACACTACGTTTGCTTCCCCGACATAAACAGGATGCCCGCGAGTTGAAAGCTCGAGGAGGATCCAGTCGACAAATGACGCTGGCAGTGTTTTTGGCAATCGGTATCGCCTTCCTCGCTGCTTTTACTGCCAACTTGCTGTCAGTATTCAGCAGCACATCTTGTCTACGAGTTGCCGGTGGGGCGGGTTGTTGATGCAATAGCAATGTTCAGACTTTTTGTACGTAGAAGAAATGTCGTTTATCCATCGCCAGCACAGATCTAGGCTGCGTGGAGAAATAAAGAAGGAGTTGGTCTTTTGGATGCTGAGCTGCTGAAGCTTCTCGTATCCAGGTGCTGTGAATGTCTATCGGTCTTTGGCCGAGCAACAACGCATGTCATTTTAGCTTTGCGTTGCCGCCGATTCATGTTTGCTGTTGAGTATCAGTTGACCCTTGTACTGTGTCGAACAAGAGGTTCACTGCAGAGCTCACACGAAAGTGTTTAGCTCAAAGTTCCTGGTGAGTGCTGAAGCGCATCTAAATAGCGCTCATTAGGTGATTCGAAAGAGATAAGTATGTTTGTCGTGTTATCGATGATACTGGTACGTTGTAAACGAACGCCTTCGAATTGGCCATCAATGTTGCTGCGTAGCTGCATGAAGCTGGGGAGAAAATCGCAGAGCTCGCGTCCGATCATGGGACTTATTTAGGATAGCTAAATCTGGAAAGACATCGATCAACTGTAGATATGAGCGCCTAAGTATTCTGGATGCCATGGTGGAAGATCATAGTATAGATCCACGCGCATACCACGAGGCAGTCTGGAAGGCTGCATGCGTTGATACCGGTCTTGCCATGCTCATCAAAACACAGGTTCAGAAACTAGCTTGACCTGATTGTTTTGTGTGCCTTGATGTCCAAGGGGACAAATTGTGGAAGTGAAGCTGAAGGAATAATGCGTCCACCAGGACTAAATGCTTTGTTGCTACTGCATTCTCTTCTGTGCAGCAACCCGCGCTTTCTACGCTGATGATATGAAATTGCGTGATGGCATACCTTTGCAATGTACGCATCATGCTCCAGAAGATGTGTTTGCATATCATCTGCTCGACTGGCAGGAGACCAGAAACCAAATGCATGATAACACGAACCTTTCGAGCTCGGCAAGCCGTTGCTATAGTCTTTGTATTGTGTACAACACGTGTCCGAAGAGCGATAATCTAGACAACGACAAGTGTCGTTTGTCATCAAGGAGTGGTATCAGCTGTCAACGTCACACCGATCGCCGAAGTGGAAGTCCGAACTCAACGCAATATGTACTTGTACGACCATAACCATGGGCGATGGAGAACTCCGCCAAAAGACGACATAGCAGTCTCCGAATCGACGTCACAATTATTGAGCTAGCAGAGATCGACAACCCGCGCCTCACTCTTGGCACCTGACACTTCTTGCAGTCTGGCGATACCTCAACAAGACATGCCGAGTGCACACCCCCAGTATTTCTGGAGATACGATTGGTTGATACACTTCCACACCGCCAAGTCGCGATTGCGCGCATTCCTCCACAGACGAAACCACTCTCATCGCTCTTGCAGACTTTTTTTGATCTTGCACTACAGCGAGTACACTCATTAATGATGGGCATGCGAACAAGTTTGTAGCGGATAAAGGCTTTCCTGTGTCGTTCAGACAGCATATCACTTATCACTACTGTATCGGTATCTGCAGCGACGCAATGCGGCAGCTACTCATTCAAGCAGATCTCTTGTCGACCTCGTACGAATCACAGACGGAAGCAGAACTTAATTGATCTCATACGAATCTCAGACACGCAATAGACGTATTTTTGTCGATGGAACAACGTCAGCCACTCCTCACAAGGGTGACTCGATAAGAAGTGGCTGTGTTGGGTCTTTTGTGATTTTGCTATACTCGTGTAACATCAACGACTGAAAGTCAGGGCTATGTGCAGTCTCGATGATAAACACGCAGCTCGCACTTTCTTTCGAGCTGTGCAATGTTTAGTCTGATCGTGTCAGCAGTGATCATTTCGGAATAAAACTCAGATATCGGTCCGATCTTTGAACGACTGATACTGATCTCAGCGGTACTTGTCTCTGCAGCAATCGTCTCGCACAAGCGGTAAAGCTGCACTTCACGGAACTTCCGCAAAAGACTACATGCACCTGAAACGGCCAACTGGGCTTCCTAACATTCGTGAACAATAGACTTTAGGATGTCAATGTGTGTTTGTGTATAACAAGGTGACGCACGCAAGCATGTGAACAGCCCTTAGTCTTCGAAATGGCTGTGCCTACCAGCTATACGATTTCGAACGCCAGGACGCCCGTCGCAATACTGCTTGAGCTCTGCGGTCAGATCGAGAGAATGGTGCAAAACGTTGATGCGAATTCGCAACGCATCGTGCTCGTCGACACTCTCATTCAAAAGCAATCACCCCTGCTTTTGCGTCTGTGTTCCCACGACATGGACCGTCTCTCCCTGAGCTGTCGTTACATGATCAACCTCCGCGACGTCAACATCTACTTCTGCTAGCTCTTTACCTGCTGGTCGCTCGGCAAACCGAAAGCCGAGGTCAATGTCCTCTTCTCCACGTGAAATGTCGCCAAAAAAACTGGCAATAAACTTGCCCTCAGGTGCCTCTACGACTTTGCACAGTTCTCCGCGCTTTGTTTCTCCAAACCGATCCGACGTCCGTACGTTCGTCACAAACTGAATGGCGTGGATCTCTCGACGGATCCGGAACAAGTAGACTTTGACAATGACCTCGTGCTCGTTCAGCTCAAAGAGCTGTCGTCCTTGTCGCTCGTGGATCTTGTCAGGGACGTAATAGCCTTCCACCTTGACGACGAGCCCATCTGACATGTCAATAGCCACAGTATGCATCTTGACGTCAACCGCCAATGGCTCATGGCCCCACTTTTCCTTCGAGCTAACGCGTCCCGTAGACTTGAACGTCACGAGCTTTTCGTCCTCTAGATCGAGCACGATCGAGTCAGACTTCGACCCGCTGTCAACGTCGCCTCCTTCTCCTTTTTCTCCTCCTCCTTCTTCGTTTTCTTCTTCCTCGTGCTCGGAGTCCGTATCACCAATTGCGTCTTCAAGAAAGAGGATCTCGGGTGTCCGGTCTTCCAGTAGCGCGGCGTGGATACTGTCTCGTGGTATCCGAGAGTTGCTTGCGTCCAGTAGCGGCAACGTGTCGTCCAGAAGCAACTGCTCGTCAGGCGCCTCAAACTCATGGTCCGTCATTAGACTCTCACTCACTCACTCTCTGTCCCTCTCTCTCTCTTTCACTATCGGTTTAAAGTCAAATGTAGAAATAGACTCAGAATAGGGCAGCACAGACGCACCGATACTCGTCGACCCCCACCCCTTACATTCTCTAAAATAACGACTTATCTCGTCTGTTTCAGCTTTCGACTCTCTCTCACGCTCTCTGGCTTATGATTTGCTGAAATAGAAACCATATGCTGAGCATTTGGTGTACGCATGGTGTGGATCGAACAACTAAAATGACCGAAGCGAATCCAGACGACGATCACCGCCCGCTTTTCGACGCTCTGTACGTGACAAAGACGCTCAACAAACTGCGTTTGAGTGGGAAAACGCCTCGTGAGGCTGCAGCAGAACTCCAGATTGATCTGGTTGGTGCTTTTGATTTTCTTGTTCCGCGGTGTTCAAAAGAAGTCAAGGACGCGAACATTTCGAACTGACCACTGGTGTTGGGTGATGATAGCGGGAGTTACATGCGTTACAACAGGATTTTGTTGCGAAACAGGCGAAGCAAAATCTGTTGGACCGTCTAGCTCAGGTGGGTACACTAGAGGAGCTACAGGAGGCAGCGACAGCGGTGAGGAAGGCGCAGGTAGAAGCTGGTTATGAGCTGGAAAACAGGGAGCTGCAGACTGCAGTGCGCGAGCGTAAGGACGCCCTTCATCTAGTAGGACGACTCACTGAAGAGGTGGAGCGTGAGAAGATTCGGTTGATTGAGTACGAACGCTCTCGAGAAGCGCACGAGAGTGAACTGGCTCAGCTGAATGACGTGTGGAAGGAGATTCAAAAACGGAATGCGCGTCGTAAGGCGGCGGTGCAGGTGGCGACTGGAGTTATGATTACGGATGAGGAGGGTTGCAACTGCGTGTTGGACCAGCAGACACAAAGCATTAAAGAGATGCGGCAAAAACAGAAGCTGCTCGAGGTGAGCACGGACGCGGTAGTTTGTGTGTGGTGGTGACGGGAAAGGAGACAAACTTGAGTTCTTGTGTTGCTGGATGGTGTCCATAGGACCAGAGAATTGACGTAAGTACTCAGGTGAAGCGGACGACGCGAATGATCGAGAACTTATTGAAGCAGGTGCGTCGAGCTTAGTAGACTTGATTGTGCTGTATTTGCGTACGATGGAAGAGTCAAGTTCATGCATTCGTTGTGCTTAGAACGACATGAGGAGTAAAGATGCCGATGTGAAACAGCGAGAACAGGACTACATGGCACTCCAGCACATGAAAAAATGGTATGCGAACTCAGCCGGATGCGACACGGTGAATCGCTTTTTTATCTTTTGTTGGCTTTATTCAGGTACGACCATGTTCGAGGCATCCAGGAATCCCTCTCTGGACTGGAAATCATGAAAATTGCTGACGATCACATTGAAGTACGGGTGTTGAAGTCGCATTTGGTGAGGCTCTTTTGTGATCCTGAAACCACTAGATTGCAGCGAGTTCAGGTGAGTCACGCTTCTTCAGCCTGTTTGACGGTCCCGTATCACTTACCCGTTTCGTCTTTTACTCTGCCTTTTGACTGCAGTTTCTGGCCTCCGATGTGGATGCTGCCGACCTCATGGACACTGCCGTGCGCGAAAACAACATTCAGTATGTGTTGTGCGAGTACCGTGAACGCGTGCGCGAGCTCATGGCACTGTAATCCCTAGTAAGCAGTTTTGGGAAAGCACTCTACACGCAACGGGACCTGCTTTGCTATGTGAGTGAAAGGAATTGTACGACTAACCCAAGGCATGACAAAGACAACACGCTCCGTCTTATTTCGGGAAGAGTTCATTTACCTGTGCTCCTGGGAGACCAGCGTCAAATAGCCGTTTGCGTGCAAGCGCGCGGTCAATTGTAAGCTGCAACTTCGCAGCCTCGATTTCGTACCGCAACTTTTCGCACTCAAGCTGATGGCGCTCTTCCTCCATGCAAAATCGCTTCCGCTCGCGTTCTTCACGCACTGCTTCAGCCACCATACGCTGCGTGCTCTCCAGCGCTGCTGGATGCACCCACGTCTCTGTTATTGCAGCAGCAGGAGGCATAGTAATGCTCGGTACAGTGCTACTTTCCACATTATTCGACGCAGTTATTACCGGCGCTGCAGTGGTAGCCTCCGAAACGGACATATTGTCGACCTGCGTTCTGTGCTGCTCCCCATCCACCGCCCCATCGTCATGTGGAACAGCTCTCTGCACATTGTTTGCTTCATCAACTTTCACTCTCCGTTTCTTCGTTGACACAGGATTGAGACCCGAGCGTTGATGATTCGTCCGTCGAGGTCGAACTCCATTACCCTCGCCCTGTCCAAAGACTTCATTGAGCGTGTGGTAGTAGCGACACATTCGCAAGACATGAGCCTCAGCAGGTCCTTGAGCACCACCAATCAAAACGACTTCTGCACCACGATCACCATCATCATCATAGTCCCCATCATTATCTCCCCCCTCCTCGTTCAATAAGCGCTTGAACGTGAAGGGGTCGTAGCTGTTCTCCTTGAGCCAATTGCGTGCAGCGTCAAAGGACCGCTCTAGCTCACTGATCTGCGTACGGATATTGGCGTTCTCCCGATGACGAATACCGTGCAGCTGCATGGTACTCTTGATCTCCGAACATAGCGCCTCGCGCGTCTCGCCCGTCTGTGACTTGCCATCGCGCCATCGCCCGTAGTTGCCTGGGGCCATGAGCCATTCCAGTAGCACGCCAATTGATGTCTTTCCTCCACGTGTGGAGCTGTCACTATCCCACAGCACGCGCTGACGACGAGCGCCATTAGACGCGCTGCTGCTGCTGGAGGGTGGAAGTGGAGATGCCAATGGCGGCGTGGGCGAGGAGCTCATGAATTTGATTCCAAATCGGGGCGATGGCTGAAAAATGTACTGCATTAAAAAGCTACAATGACGTGTGGGGTGGTCGACATCAACTCGTTTGACCTGATGGCTACAGCTCGATTGAACTGATGGCTACAGCTCGTTGCGCTGTTTGTGGTGGTATCAGGTATCAGAGTCGTTTGGGCTGCCTTTTTTCTGCTCGCCGTGGTGCTGCATCGATGATGCTTAAGTTCGCAGTGATGAGGATTTGCCACCAGCTGTCGGGTCGTTGATTAGTTTTCACATAACTGTGGCTTACAACGGCAGCGCAATGGCTTCGTTGCTCTTGTAAGACTTGATAAAATATTCGTGTCGGTGGTTGTGGTTGGTGTGGGATCATCTGAGGACGTTGTGATGAAGTCACGGCAGATCGCTAGGTCATAACGCTACCGATCTTTAGGCTGTGCGGGCAGGGGTTGCGCTCGACACGATGACGATATGATCGACGAGTTGAAGTGAGAGAGCCAATCAGATTAAGCTAACGTGCTTCACTCGCTCTTGCTGTTGTGTACGTTGTAGCATCCTGCTGTCAGTCGCTTTGGCGAAGCAAAAAGGTATCAATGATTAGACTGGGTTCTGCCCTCATGTGGACGAAGTTCCGTAGAGTTGTGTGTGCTCCTCAAGAGTAAGTCTCCTCTGCTTTGCTTCTCATTCAACAACTGTCAGCTCTTTCAGATGCTGTACTGACAGCTTTTGAGCTTTTTGCAGTACGGAAGCAGCTTCACTCTTCCAGGCACTTTTTCTCACCTCAACTAACAAATGAGACGTAAGAGACTGCAAGATGGTACAACAAAACATTTTTTGCTCAAAAATGACCAGTGGGATCGTTGTCACGCAGCTCCGGGTAGAGACGCCAATGTTCATAGCTACTGGAGGACTTGCTTGGTGAAAGCAAGCGTCATCTGGTAAAGGTAGGAGGCGCCGACAAAGCCAAGGTTGCAGCCTGTCGACACCATTTCTATACCCGTAGCTACGAAACCATTCGTAGATGCGTACTCGTACCACGATTTAAAGCATTCTGTAGCTACAACGCTGACTTGGCGCGTACCGACCTTCAACAGAAGCCACCACAGTTTAGACATCTACGTAACGGAAACCATGCAACAAACAATCAGGAGCTGCACATAAGCTCGTCAAGTAATCATTGACAGCAGTGTAGATCACCTGGACGAGGTTCGAACAAAGCTCCAGAATCAGCTGTGTGTGCTCGGGAAAATACTTCTCGACCGCAAGTGCCGCGGCGACGAAGCTCGCAACAGGGATCTAACGTTCACGACATCCTCAATAACAAACTATCTTTCGACGCCGCCAACACCTCACCCCAATAAAAGCACTATCGACCTACCGCCAATCCAATAAACGGCAGTCCCATTGCAGTGACCGCGCCTGCCAAAAACGGGTGCTCCACGGCTCCTTTTCGCGTCCGGGTATATACGTCCATCACGTACGTTCTCAGCACAGCGGCATGTTCCAACTGTCTACTTCTAGTCTTCTCTCGTCGCTTCTTGTCCTCTTGCACCGTTCCCGACATTTCACTAGTACCACCTCCACCTTCCTCGTCCTCTACTTCTTCAATCGTAATGCGATCACCGCGATCCGCCGCTCGCCCTTTCCGGCGCTCGTCGTCGCCCAGCGACGTGAACAGCGACTGTCCTGCCTCCAATAGTTTCTGTGCAATATCCAGCGACAACTGCGATGCAAGCGCGAGCTCATCGTCCGTGATCGTTCCAAGTGCATGGTCTATTGTCGTGCACACGCTCTCAGCAACGACCATCACGTTGCGCACTTTCTCCTCATCAAAGTGCGCCACCACAATCGCTGAGGACGAGCCCACACGATCACCTGACACAACCATGGGAACCTCACTCCCGTCCCCATCTCTTCCTTGACCAGAGTGCTGCTGGTAATTCTCCAGCAGCGCTCTGGACGACAGTTGCAGCACCTCGAGTGCTCGGGCGTCCGCTTGCTTCACATGCTCGCACAGATCGTGCATCTTCTCCTCGTCTTGCAGTATCGAGCCAACGTTGTGTCCCACGAGACGCAGACTTTCCTGCATAACAGTCACAACTCGAGCCAGTCGCTCCGTCACGTCTGCTGCGTCAAGCGCTTCAACAACTGCGTGCGCCTCCCCAAAGATCTGAGCCATAGAATCTAGCGCGGTCGCACTCGTTGCTGCAGTGTCATGCTGTTGCTGCTGATGGAGGAGCAAGAGCTCCATGGCCGTTACCTCGGCGCGCTCAACTGACGACACCATAGTCAGTGCGCGAAAACCTGTGGTGTCACTCTTGCGAGGTAGAGAGCCGTCCGCCCTCACTCTTGCGAGGGAATGTATTCATTGGCACTCTCGCGAGGGAAACAAACGAAAGCAGACATAAATAAAATCCATCGCTTCGCTCGCGTCAGAAAAAATAAAAATCTGATGCAAACGAAGACGATGAAGAACGCGGCGACGGATCGCGCGCGCGGGGTGTCAATCGAGACGGACGTACCGTCCACTGTGTACACGCTGGATTTGCATCGACTGAGCGATCTTGCTCGTGTGTCGATGGCAGAGCTCGTGCGTGGTATGCAGCAGCTGGAAGACGTGGTCGAGATGCAGGGCGTCGTGGTGAACCGAGGCCAGGACGTGCCGTTTGAAGCCGTGGGTCGGACGCCAGAGGACATTGACCACGCTGATAGTCAAGATGATAGTTTCATGCACGTACAGGATGCAGGTTCGGGGATCAAGCAAGTGCTGCTCACTGCAGCGTCAAGTACCATGTGTTTAGATGGCTCGGACACGCCCAAGTGTCTGCTGATGCTCGGCGAGTATACGCTGATGGAGCACATTTTGGCCCAGCTGTTTGTTGCAGGGATCCAGCGCGTGGTCGTGATTATCTCGTACTTTGGACACGAGATCATGACACACGTGAAGGAGAGCTTTCTGTACACAAAGCTGCAGATTGAGTTTCTTAACCTTGGAGAAGAGACTTCGTATGGACATGCACGGACGCTGTTGTCGGCGCGAGAGATGTTTACGGAACCGTTTTTGATCCATACGGCAGACCATGTGTTTGATCGAGCGATAATTAGTCGCTTGGCACAATTTGATCTGGACGATTGCGTTGCGTGTGTGCTGGTGGATACAGACAAGAATGCAGTAAAGGGGTTGCCGTCTACTGCAGGCAAAGTGCGCTTGAATTCGTCCGACGGCACGATCAGCGAGATTGGACGAGGACTGAAGCACTTTGATGCAATTGACGCAGGCTTGTTCTTGGCCACTAAGGAACTGTTCGCTGCACTAGAGATGCTGGCATACGAGAAGCCAAAGTTTTCGCTGGCAGAGGCGTTGAATGTGCTGCGTCCGAGTTACGGGTTGAAATTTGTGGAGACAGATGGTGATGCATGGCTGAGCGTCGAGACTCAAGTGCAGCTGGATGAGATTGTGGCTAACAACAGCATTGCGTTGCTGTCGCTGTGGCCTGTGATTGTTGCCAAGGAGCCAGTCGAAGAAGCCTCAACTACATCTGGCGGGAAAAACGTTTTCCTGGCTGTTTCAGCTGCGGACGATGACTCCGTTTTGCGCGCAGTGAAGGCACATGTCCGTCAGCCAGCACATGTGTTTGAAGGATTTGTAGTGGGTGTAGACCAAGTGCGGGAGGTCGGTGTTGAGGACAAAACAGCACCTGCCCGGGAGTCGATTCAAGCTCACGAAAACACACCGCTGCTTGATCGTTCGGTGCGAACAGCTTCGCATCGAGACCGTGATGCAGCAGACATACCCTTGACTATATGGCGCCAGCGGGGTTCGTTTCTGAAGCAGGCCGGACATTCTTTCGTGCTATCCATGCCTTACAACGAGCCATCTGACGTCACAGTTGGTATTGCCACGGCAGAAGATGAGCATAGGATACCATCAGCTGCGGTGCAACACGCATATCTCATCCAGCTCCCGCAAGTCACGGCTGCTAGAGATGGATCTGGTGCGGTGCAGGAAACGTTGCAGCAGTTTGTGCTGGCTGTGCCCAGCAGCGATACGTTGTATAAGCGCCCAGGTTTATCACGCCGTTTGTCGTCACTGCCATCAGCTGTTAAAGCTATTAAGGTGGAAACGGTAGAGTTTTGCGATAGCACAATGAAACTGCGGTTGCTCGTTAAGCGGCAGGTGCCTTTCGCTGGTTACGTCCTGCTGCTGGCGTCACTGGTTTCAATTTCATCTTTGGGCACAGCGCTGGAATCGCAGCGCAACGTAAACCCTTTCATGAAATTTTTCTGGCGATTAACTGCTTCGCTGGTCGTGTTCATTCCTCTTGCTGGAGCTGCGCTGTATGACCGAGGCCCACCACGATTTTCAACGCAAAATATGATCCACTTCCTGACGTGCTCAATATCGTACGCGGTTTTTCTCACCACATTCTTATGGTCACTGTCGCACACATCCATTGACCACGCTTACATATTCAATAACTGCCACTCGCTACTCATGGTCGTCGGACGGCTGATGCTTGGGCGATACGTATCGCAGTTTGAGGGCCTGGGTACTGCCATTGGTGTGATTGGTGGAGCACTTACAACTTTGGATCACCAGCCGTCATCTTCAACGGGCGTTGAAGTGGTGCAGGTGTCGTTAACTGGCGATCTCGTTGCCCTTGTGGGTGCTCTGGGAGGTGCTCTTTATCTCTTGACTGTCAAGAAGTTGCGTACCGAGATTGATGTCAGCATTTTGTTTGCTGGCATGTTCTTATTGCTTACACTACTCACATTCCCGGTCTTTTCACTACTTGACATTCCGTTCGAGGCATCCCAAGATCCTGACATTGGCCTTTTCGGCTGGCTGCATCCGTCACGTGCAGCATCGGAAGCTTACATTGTGCTCGTTTGCACACTCGTCGGTACGGTGGGCTATGTTGCCGTTATGAAGTACTTTGCTCCGATTGTCATATCTGTCGTGATGCTTGTGGAGCCCGTGCTGGCTGCTTTCATGGCCGTCGCAGTGACTGCTGATACATTTCCCGGTCTGCTCACAGTCGTGGGTTCGTCGCTAATTATTGCTGGCACGGCTCTCGTGATCGCATCTAATTCATCCCGGACCCAAGCAGTTGATGCGACATTGGCCATTTCGTATGCCTCAAGTGATGCATCCCAAAATCTCAGCTCTACGATTTCCGGCGGCTTCAAGCTGCGACATATGACCACCCCAACGACGAATGTAAGATACGTTTAACCGAGCCTTTCGCTGAACACACATGACAATAGCTAATGTTACAAGGTTCTCAGACATAACGTCGAAGTCCGGAGTTGCCTGGCAATAGGCAAAAGACCGAATGCAAGTCTTGACGAGCTCGCGGGGAAGAGACGAAGCATCGGTTGAGTCGTGACAATAGCTAATGTTGTTACAAGGTTCTCAGACATAACGTCGAAGTCCGGAGTTGCCTGGCAATAGGCAAAAGACCGAATGCAAGTCTTGACGAGCTCGCGGGGAAGAGACGAAGCATCGGTTGAGTCGTGTGGAAACGCGGGTACAACTGACGCCCGTAATAATGCTGCACATGGGCCTCATCGTTCTCTCGAGAAGCAGAATCGCAATATTATTTCACACTCAGTCCAGTCTAATAAGCTCGCGGTAAAGCTTGCAATGTATGACCGTCGGTATGAAATTGTTATACCGAAATGCATCGTTGCGCAAGAGCGTATGACTGCTGCGAAAGAAGACCAAGTATCGTTGTGACCACGTTGCAACTGATGCAAACTCAATTCTATTGAGACGATGAGACCATGAGCTGCTACTGTCGATTTTGCATACTCCCTCTTCGGTCTCCTTCACTCGACCTAAAGACCAAGTCTTGTTGAAGATGCTCTGCTCCGGAAAGCAGTTCGTACTTGAATCAACGCTCCGAAGCGTGCGTTGACCAGAAGAAAGGGATCATGGCATAGACGCGCGTCTCTCAGCCCGTGAACGATGTTGTAGCATCATTGATCGGGTCCAGGGACTTCATCTATCTCGAATCAACAAGTTAAAGTTGAAGTGCACCTCCATCTTGAAAGTGGGCGTGACGGCGCTGCACAGTCATGATCCATAACTACACGTTAAGTTTTGTAAAGCTAGAAAAGCAGGACTAGTCCCAGGCTCGTTTGACTCGGTCGGTAACTTCTTCCATCCATGGGTACGATCCACTCATAATAAGATGAAAGGTGTACTGCATCGCCATCAGTGCCTCGTCTAACAAAACATGAAGTTGCATTCGTCACGCGGTATGGGCTACATCTCTTTTTTCACATCAAACTTTTGCTAATGACACGAAGCTACGCGATGCTTAGGTGAAGTGTTCACCCGTTACGGGACAAAGCTGGAGGTTGCTGTTCGTGCAATTGTAATGCACGACCTTGTTATTCGGGTAAACGGCAAACACGATGTCACCAATACGCTTGCGGCACACGGGGCAGAGCGTATTCGGGTCCACCTGCACACTCTGAGTGAGACGCTCGACGCGGTCGCATTGGACTTGCAAGTTGTAGACGTTCGACAACGACTTCGCGATGCTCATCTCCCGCACGTTGTGTGCACTATGCGGCAGCGCCTGTGCAAAGAATTCACCAAGTTTCGACAACGGCGTGCTCGGCGGCACCATCTCGAGCACTGCAGCACTGTCCAGGCTTTTTCCGTGGCGAGCAAGCAGTTGGAAGCCAAAGTCATGAAATGCTGCCTTTTTAGACTCGTCACGAGGAGCAAAGCATATCTTCAGCAACTTCATCAACGCTTCGTTGCGCTCCATGGCAGCCCCGGCCTTCTGCTTGGCCAGTGCTGCCGATCCAGCCGATGGCGCGTGCGCTCCATACTTGACGGAGTAGCTCTCGGCTCCACGCAAATCATTGAGCTCGTACACTAGCGACGTGATGGCTTCCTCGTGCAGCGCGCCTCGGCCACAAAGGATCACGAACTCGTTGTACAGCGCCTTGCCCCTTATTTTCTCCACAAGCGGTGCGACATCGTAGCGTGAAGAGCTCGACTTGAGGAATTTCAGAAGTCTCTTGCGCGTATCACCTAACGCGCCGGACTCTTTGCCTGGCTGAGATTTTGACGGCACCTCGCCCTTGGCTACAAGCCGAAGGGTTTCATCCAGATATTCCAGTGCCAAGCGAGTGTGGTGCGGGTCAACCGCAATTGATGCCACGCCACCACCTGGCTCACGAGCAGGCTCGTCGTCATCATCGTTATCGCCGGCTAGAAAGTGACTGTAACTGTCATTCACTCCCAGCTCTGCGCCACCTGGATCAACAAAGACAGAAAAGCCTCGACTACTACCCCCTGCAACGTTTCCACTTCCGCTGTCGCCAACGGCAGCTGTCGCACCTGCTGCACTCGCGCCAGTTTCACCAGTAGCCTTGACGAGGGTTTCAAGATACCTCTGGACAATCGCAGGATCGTCCGAATACTCTCGCAAATGCGCTACCACATCGTTCGAAGGCAACGGCGGTCGACGGTCCGTGAAAATACGCAAAGCTTGCTTAGCAGACGTCGCCTTAATGATCCAAATTGATTGCTTGAAGATGAACTCGCTCTCCGACTCGGGCACTGCCACCAAAACATCGATCGCTGCTTCAATCGAAGACTTTGGCATGCCACTTGAACCACTACGCTGCTTGTACTCGCCATGGTGCAAGAGAGCTAATATTTCCAGGGCCTTGTCATAATTCTGATGAGCACACAGCAACTGGGCAGCCTCGTAGTAAAGATTGTGTTTCACCAACAGCGCTTGGCATGTTTCCAATTCAAGAGCGCAGCCTCCAAGAGATCCTGGTGGGCCTTCTACGTCTGGATTGGGCTCCTGGATGAGAGCAAGCAGCTCTTTGTACCTCTTGAAATGAACGTAAAGGCGGAAAAGTGCAGTGTCAATGGCTTCTACACGACGCACATCTTTAGGACTGCCTCCAGCTCCCGCCGATGTAGAGCGGCCTCTTGAAGATGACGCAGGGGTCGCACGAGCACGGGCCTTGTCGCGCTGATGCTTCTTGTATTGGCCCAGAAACTTAAGAAGCGCTTTCTGCGCGGCATTAACGAGATCAGCGACATCACTTTTGGCGACGTCACTATCCAAAAGTGTGCGCGGTGATGACAGCAGTTCCTGGATAACAGACGTGATGTCTGGTGCAGAGCTGCTGCCGCGTGGGAGCACCTCAGATTTGAAAACGGAAGGTTCATACGCGAATGACGCACACTGGAGATCAGGAAAAAAGGCGATGAACTCACACGGCTCAATGGCAGCACGATACATATAGTCTACTGCATTGTCAAACTCCAATCGGCGCAGCAGCGCTACTGTAGCCTGACGCTGGAAGCGTTTAATCTTGCTGCGCTGCTTTTCGCTCGACAAAGACGCAATGGACTTGCGCACAAAGTTTTGGGCTTCGTCGATCTGTCCGCGATCTAACAGCTCGCCAACCTGTTGATCATGCGGCATAGGTTCAACTTTCATGACACTCGACGTTCCGTTCGAGTCTCTCACGCCAACCATCACGACATCTTCACTATCCCCACTCGGTCTCGGCTCCATGTCCCACTTCATGCCGTTCGCAAACATACAGACTGCTCGAGCCATTGGCATCGTTTGGACCAGCACGCCGTCACTAGCACGATGGATCTCGACACCCACCCTTGGTACTAAAGCCAGCAAGTAGAGCGAAGAGAATTCCACTTGCTGCGGACTTTGCGACCACGTGATTGAATTCTTGGGCATTGTGTCGCCCGTAAAGCTCACAAACACGCCCACTCGATCCATCACCGTGACGAGAATCTCTTCTTTCGGCAACAACTTGACAACTGGGAACACAGTGGGGTCCTGGATTCCTGGTGCATTCACAGGCGTGGCTTCACCCGACTTGTCATTCAGCAAAAAGTAGTTTTTCCGGAACCCGACCATGACTTTGTTGCGGTACCAGCTCATGGCTTCTGGTACATCTTGGGTACTAAATTCCCGCAAAAACGAATATTTCTTATCCGTGCTCGAGTACTGGTAGATTGCAATTGCTTTTCGTTTGAGAAGCGCGACGCCCAGCCGAAAATGAGGTGGTCCACGCTGATTCACACACACAAGTCGCACGTGGTGCGCATTGGCCTTGGAAAAGTCAAACTCGAGCGTCTTGAGGTCCGTCGCGCCGTGGGCAGACACTTGTCCGTTGGACACTGCAATGAGCATGCGGATGTGGGGCACAGCAAGCAGTTGGTCCACGCGTTTGCCGTGGGCGAACGTGTGCGACGCAGTGGCGGTCGACGTGCCTTTTCGTGTGTCGTACATAACGAGGCGACCATCTTGCGAGCCCAGCACAACGCGGGACGAGTAGTGCGTCACACATTCGACTTTCCCGTCAAAGCCCGTGACGACGGCAGTCGAGCGGAACGCCACGCGCTGCTCGGAGGTGGAGGACGACGATGACGACATGACGACGCACAGAGGAGAAGGGAATGGGTTGAGGCCGAAATGATGGAGGCTACGGACGAGAGAGAGATGCAGGGGATGAGGAGAGTATTAATTCAGAGAGAGAAGGTTGACGGTTGGACCTCGAAACTAATCTCTCGATGGTTTGTTGGAAGAGATGCTTGATGACGAGATAGGAAGTATAGGAATACCTAGGAAAAAAATTCATGGAGCCATTTGTGTATGTTGTCATTCGAGTCTAGCGCGCGAGATGAAAATGTGCTTTTTAGACAAACCCCGCTAAAACTGTCTAACCGAAGCCTATATCATCGTTTTATCCCGCTTGCAAACCCGCACCTCTCCGCAGCATCCCGCGCACCAAAGCTGAAAAACCAGCATAACAACAGTAGCAGTCGCAGCAGCCCCAGCTCTCGCGCCCATTCGCTCGCTCCGGCTCCATCCTGTCCAGATCCAGCGTCGCTCACTACACAACCACCCGTCCCCCCTCCCAACTGATCCGACCCATTTTCTGGTCAAGTTGTCGCCCGATGCGAGTGCTCATGTGGTTCCGTCGCGACCTTCGTCTGCACGACAACTTGGCGCTCCACGAAGCGCTTGCGCTCATCCAACAACAGCAGCAGCAGACGGAGGAGACGGAGACTGGTCCCGTGGAATTCCTCCCGCTGTACATCGTCCATCGGCCCCAGATCATGCGCTGCGGAGCGAATCGCTTCCAGTTTATGCTCGAGAGCGTGTCGGACTTGCGCGACGCGTTGGAGGCGCGTGGGTCGCGTCTCATTGTGGCCAGAGGCGACAGCCTCGAGGTGCTGCGTCGACTGTTGCCGGCCTGGAGCGTTACACACTTGTACTTGGACGCTCTCTATGAGCCATTCGCTGTCGAGCGCGACCGTCGCGTCCTGTCTTTAGCCAAACGTCTCAATGTCCAGACGCACGTGACAAATGGGTACAACCTGTACGATCTTGACGCCGTGATCGCTCACAACCGAGATGCAGCTCCAAAAACGTACCGTGCTTTTCTAAAAGCCGTGGCGTCGCAGCCATCGCCGTCTCTACCATTGGAGACGCCAAAGAAGTTGCCAGCACCGGAGAGGACGCACCGTGAATTGTACGGACAAGTGGAAGAGTATTGGAAAAGTCACGCAAAAGAACGTGGCACAGAAGAGCAGGACGAAAATATGGCACCGTTGGAAGACATAGCGGGCCCGGAGCTGGAGTTTGATCTCCCTGAAGCGGCGGCATTTGGGTACACGGTGCCGGAGAAACACACATTTCTGTACGGAGGAGAGCATAACGCTCGACGGATTCTTGACGACTATTGTCGGGACGAAGACCGTGTCGCCAAGTTTGAGAAGCCGAAGACGTCTCCTGCTCAGACAAGTCCAAGTCCGTCGACGACAACGTTGAGCCCGTACTTGTTTTTCGGATGCCTTAGTCCGCGCACCTTCTACCATCAAGTACGAGCGATTCAAAAGAAGCACAAGAAAGCGTCAGTGCCACCTGTAAGCTTGGACGGACAACTTCTGTGGCGAGAATTCTACCATTGCCATGGCCATGCCAACCCGTATTTCGACAAGATGGAGGAGAGCCCTACCTGTCTGCAGGTAAACTGGCGATTGCATTCTATTCCAGAAAGAGAAGACGATATGACGGACGACGACAAGCTCGCTCGTACTCAGTTTGAAGCGTGGAAAAACGGGCAGACGGGGTTTCCGTGGATAGATGCCATCATGATCCAGCTAAAGGAGGAGGGCTGGATACACCACTTGGCACGTCATTCGGTGGCCTGCTTCCTTACACGTGGTGACTTGTACATTTCGTGGATACGTGGACTCGAGGTTTTTCAAGAACGGCTCATTGATCACGACTGGAGCCTAAACGCTGGCAACTGGCTGTGGCTCAGTAGCAGCTACTTCTTTACGGCGTACTTCCGTGTGTACTCTCCGATATCCTTTGGAAAGAAATATGACCCGGAAGGTCTCTATATCAAAAAGTATATTCCAGCGCTCAAAAAGTTGCCAGCCAAGTACATTTACGAGCCGTGGAAAGCTCCGCAAAGTGTACAGGACGCGTCGGGTTGTCACATCGGCAAAGAATATCCTGCTCCCATCGTAACTCACAAAACAGCTATGGACAGATGCTTGGACGGGATGAAGAAGTCCTTTGCCAACAAGCAGTATGGTAGACCACCGAGCTCCACGCGGAAGCGTCAGCGTGAAGAGTGAGCGGATTTATCTGATAAATCTTGGATGGGGTTACGAAGGTAAATCTGTGTACGTAATTGGCGTATCAGGGAAACTATAGCACAGGGCAAAAGGAGACCGTCTCGCTCGCACCCTACCCCCGGCGCCATAAGTTGTTGCGAGCGATACCTTACAAGTCACATGCTCTGCTTGTTCTTGTCAAAAGCTGAAGTATGTTGGAGACTAGTATGTGCGGAAGTGCTGTAGCGGTGACGAATGCCCCAGGATACGAGGTGGTGGCGTGATACTTGACAATTTATGTGAGCCCGAAAATTTGCACATGGGGATCTTAAGACGTCATCAAAATGGCGCAGCAGACTTGTGGCTGCCAAAAGACAGAAGGTTTTAGATAATCAAACTGAAAGGATGCCTCCGCGGAGAGAAAGAAGATTTCTTTATACGACTTCAAGATGAATGGTCGGAGATCGAGATAACACTTTGCTAACGGCTTGAGGAGATGGAGTCAGCTTTTCCAGTAGCTTTTCAAGCGCGCAGGTTTCGAAGTTCTTGAGGATGAAAAAGAGCAGTGGATACACATGGATTTCGCACTATCTGTACCTTGTGGCGGTACGATACGAGACAGGAGCGTCTTCGTCGCTAAAACCTGTAGCCTAATGCTGCATGCGATCCCTGAGTTGAGGCCGGTGCTGGCGAGTCAAAATGAATAATGGAGAAGGTATCATGTGGTGTAAGCGCTTAGAATAGCTGAATGGTCGCAAACGTACGAGGAGAACTGGAGGCGATCAGTGAAGCCATTCAGAGTCGCCGCAGCTGTCAGAAGGGTGGTACACCGAACAAGAGCCTCTGTGACCTGCAGCACAGTGGGACACTTCGCACGAAACTTCCCGAACAAAGAAGACAGGTGTGAGAACCTACAAAGGGCGCTGGCGGGGCTACTCGAAGACAGAACAGAGCAGGACTGGATAGTGGAATTAGAAAGGAGAACGCATCCTGTACGCGATGCGAAAACAAGGAGGCTGTTGGTACAAGGTTCTGTGACAATAACCTTAAATCATTAGCTCCTTGTTTTCCCTTTCTTTACAGCAGTAGTGGCAAATATCTTCTTTTGTCTTGGTCCCAACAAGATACCGCAAACCTCTTTTTCACAGGTCCACCATGTTTCCGGTAGGGTTGCCCACAATTATGCTCGAGTTAAGATCGCCTCGTAAAATGAGCGATCGCCACAGTACCACACTCACAGATGTCGTTGTTCAAAAGTCAGGGTGAAAAGCAAACCAACCGTCATGACTAATGAGCTCACTACTAACAACCCTCTGAGATGGTTTTGTATTATTCGCGTATGTTGTGACACCGACTCGAGTATGATCAAGTTGAGATCGTACTTGTTGTTGACTCCGTAAAGACTGTACTCGCCGAGCTACATCGTAACTTTGCCAACGCAGCCACAATCGGTTCTAGTCCGATCTCTCTAGGCTGGCGACAATAGCTGGTATTTATAGTCCTGCAGGGCTACCTCAGTTCTGTAATACAAGGGTACTCGGTGGAGCTGCTTTTTTATAACTTCGGCGCCTTTTCTCACAATAATGAACAGTCTAAATCAGCCAGGAACAGTTACTTCATAGCCGTATGCATACCAGCAGCTAAGCCACTTCCGAATAATAAAACTGATGTGGACGCTGCGTCCTTGACCTATAAATTAGAGCTAAACGTTGTGGTCACAAGCTTTGGCCTTTTTTCGCTGGTGTAATTATGCGATCGATGCATCATCCCGACGTAAATGCAATCTCCTCGGAAAGCAATAGCAAAGGCATGAGCAAAGCAGTTTGCATAGTAGAAATATTAAGACTTCGCAGTATCACATGGAGTTTCAACCAATAAAACAGCGACTACACGGTAGTCTAAGAACATGCTTGATGTGCGTCACTGTTGTGGAGTAGAAGCATGTCGTCCGAGTAAAAATAATGCGGCGATCCAGAGGGTGTAGTCCTGCGTGACAAGATCACGCTTCTAGTGACTAGACACGGTAAAGCGAGGTCAGAATGAATGAAGACAACGAGATACATTGGGTAGAGTTGAAGAACACGTGCAATGCGCCAACGCTCTGCATTAATATGATATTGCTAAGTACACACTAATGCTACAAGGTAGTAAGCTAAGTGACATGAGCAAGGGACAATCCATCGTCAAATATGACAGAGTGATAATGTGCGTGCAGATATAAAATTTTTGTTCAGATTGTGAATATAGGTACGCCATGACAGAAAGAGAACAAAGACAAGTGACAAAATTAAGGGATGCGCCACGAACAAAGATGGCAGCGTGGTAATGTAGGTGCAGATAAAGAACATTGTCCTGCATGTGGGTCGAGGCAAGCCAGGAAAGGAAGGTAAAGGAGTGCGTCACGTTGTGACGAATGTACTTCACGCATCGACTAGAATTGAATACTGTTCTAAAGGATATCTGTAGGCGCTAAAACCGACTTATGTCCATCTTAAATACGCCGACTTTATAAAAGATGGCTGCCGATACTAGCAATCGAATCGAGCTCACGATTTGATTCAGGGGACTATCTTTAACTTGAGACAAAGGCAAACAAGCGAATACTGCATAGCCACGTAAGGATAGCGAGGAAATGCACCGATTGATGTGGTGAGTGGTTTAATCTGCAGCAACTTGAGAGGACTGAGTATGTGGAGGAGCTACTCAGAGCTCCTGAGCAGAGGAAGCCTTGGACGCAAAGAGTTTCTTAGTTATAACAAACTGACAACGACGTACAGTCGATCAAGCGCACAAGCTTAACAATCCCGGTTCTAAAGGGATTGCGATTCACAGAATCACACACTAACTAGTCACTACTAGTTAAACAATAGTAAGCGCCTATACAAGGCTAATGCTCTTAACAACACACTACGACTTTACTATGCACTTGTGTCCAATGATATTAAAGGGGAACTAAGCTTTAATTATTTTCTTCAGCTACAGTGATAAAACCATAACACCTTTTCTGACTGACTTCTACATTGCGATCCTATGACAGAAGTCCATTCCCTGACCGATGAGGTGCGGTATAACCGTAAGTACATGGTACCTTCACTGCACCGCTCAGATCCACGATCTTCAATTGGTGTGGACACACAACATAACCGATTCAATAATCGCGTGTGACCACATCACACCCTCCTTCACCGAACTGTCGACACCTTTGTGTCGACAATTCTCCTACTGCTCTTGAGTCTATCAAACCTCTGGTCCTGACCATCGTGTTCACAACACATTTCGCAATGACTGAGTCAAACCTTCGTCTAACACCCTTGAGTACTTCCTCGAAGAGGGTGTGGTGGACTATGAGAGTGACACAGTCGCGTCGAGTGCTTATGACCCACCTCCAGAAACGCCACCGGCGCGTGACACAAAGCGCGTCGCGCCTTATCCATTTGTGGAACACGAGGAGGTACCGTCACCCCTTGCACAGCTTGCAGCCGTCGACCCTGCGTTTAATGTGCTGCATAACACTCTTGATGAAGACCAAGCCCAATATCTTCAGTCTATCGATGACTGCAGGCTTCAAGCACGATGTGTATCCACAGCGTATGCATACAGTATTTGCCGATTCACACGACCAAGCGTGAATGAACGTATTCGCCAGACTGTCGAGCAGTCACTTGCAACACGGATCACGGGACCCAAGGCTGACACAGCCACAGCACTAGTGGAGAGGGAGGCTCTCAGAGCTAGATACATGGGGGCCGAGCGTATGACCGCTCAAGAGTACCTCGACAGGCTGAACTAGATAGCACGAGTTGCGTCACTGTCTACCATGCGGAAAATACCTGTCGTCATCTCCCCTGGCGAGACGGAGGCGGAAAATGATGTCGTCTTCGCGAGTTGGGCTCACAGAGCTCATCATCTACCAAGCCTGTGTAACCTACAAAAAATCGATTTACTAGCTGACGCTCGGCTCGAAGGAAAGATGCGCTTTGATTTTGCAAAGCAAAGTCCAAGGTCAACCACGATTGTTTTATCGCACCTGCTACGCTGCAGCAGATACGGACACGCACCTGCTGCAGTTGTGTCCCCTCCACTCCCACACCGACTATCGAGAAGCGGTTTGGGTCGACCGACCCTGAAGACGACGTTTAAAAACGTAACGGCATACAGACAATTCTTCCGCAGTGGCATTTCGTACACCCATAAGTTCTCCGACTCCGGGTACCCCCGCCACTGTAACAAGTACTAGTATTGACCGTCGCAACGACATCGCTGCAGGAGACGTTCAGCACAGTACTGATAAATCTCTTGCTCATCTTAATTAGCAGGCGGTGACCGGTGAATTTCGACGCGTCTTCAAAGAGTTAGTGCCCGAGGTGCATGGTCTTCGTGACTGCATAGCGCGTCTTGAAGGACAATTGGAGCTTCTCTTGAGGGTTCCTAGACTTGTGACATCGCCAACTCTTTCGGCGCAAGTGTCTCGTGATCCAGCAGCGACGGATCAAAATAAGGCTTCAGCTAGCCGACAAGAAAAACCATCGTGTTCGCATTTTGCGTGGAAAGTTAAACGTATACGCTAGGCCCTTCTTGGCCACAACCGTTAAAGATCCAATGAAATGAGGACGCAACTTGGTCTTTTAGACCGCTGACACCTCCTTAGTAGGTAAATTCTTAGCGATAGCAATGCCAGGTCTCCATCTTCATAACTCATAAACACCTTATGCCTATGGCATTAGCTTGTTCCTTCTGTTTGTCCTAACTGTAAGCCATTGCGTCATGTACATGCCGTAATACATTTGAGCGCATAGCGAGAAGCTCGCTTACCTGTTTTTGAACAGTAGTTAGGCTGACGAAAGAAAGCCAATTGTCTATTCCTCTCCCAACAAGCCCGGAACCACGGAGTGGTATAGTTAACGGAACGCGTTGGTGAGTGAGACCATTAACTTTAGATAGAGTAAAGCCGGTAGAGGCATGAACAGCGTTGTTTGACGCAAACTTGACCACAAAGAGCATAGAGCTCCAAAGTCTCGGCG